AAATTATTAATCAATTTCATCTCAACTAAATTTGGCCTTCTTCATCTATATTAATAAATTATAACATCCGAAATAATAATATTTATTCTAATATATTCATTAAATTATTTACTAACAATTATCTCAGAATAAAATAACGTTCTAACAAGATTTTTTCTTTAGTCGTCAATAAGATCTTAAATTGCGTTATTTGCGTGGTACTGATTATTGTTATTTTATTGCATGGAGTTTTTTAGTATTCCAGACATACGGCAATAGACCGCAAATTTTATACGGTGATGAGGATGAGTTCGGTTTATATGTGAATGCACGGCAAGTCGTCGTAATGGCAACTGGCTAATTGGATCAATAAATCGTTGTGACCAGCAGATTTATAAAGCGATTGTAATCTTTGGCACACCGAACCACTCTCTGTATCTCTCTGATTGTTTTGTTGTTGGCCGAATGTACGAAACGATAATTACTTTAAAAATTTTACAATGTATGAATACATTTTTGTATTTGACCACAAAACCGTACAGATAATATGTAAAACATTGTGCCATCATTAATTTAAAAGATACTACCTGTGTATTGTAAATAATTACAAATTATGCGATTAACGACAAAACACACAGTTATAGTCGTACGCTTTATAAAATCAGAAGTAAGACAAACAAAAAATGCAATATTTGAAAAAACTGGGCCAATTTTTGCTGCATTAGTTTTATAAAGACCAATATAATTTTATATTTTATTCTCAAATCAAAGTTGCACTCTATGCATACTCGAGAGGAAACGCGCGTTTGTTTACTGCTTACAAATAATAAAAAACAATGCGCGCACGAATAACACATATAATTATTTCTTGCAATACTCGTTACAAATAATTAGCCTCCCGTTTGACTCATGGAGATGCTTTAACTGTTGATTACAGATCGCGTCGCGCCGTATATGCCATACAATACAACAGGATGACCATTTCAGCGCCGTCTGTGTCTGTTGCTTGATGTTCGATAATAGTGGGGAAAAAAAACTGTACCGATGGTCATGTGTATACGTGTTACGGCTAATTAATTGCAAGTGATCTTTGTTGCATGTTCGTTAACTTGAACTATCTTCGTTGCATTAAAGTGTTTTATATCATTATAGGTATGGTACGTGTGTTTACTCCAATTATTATATAAATGTGGAGCACAATTATCCACAAAATTCATATTTGACGTTTAATGAAACGAAACAACTGATGGACTGTTATAAACAAGGCTGCGAATTATATGCAATTATAAATTTTGTTAAGTTAATCTGAACACGCCATCAGCCACTATAAATTATTATTAATTGATTTGAAAACTTAGTTATGTGTTTTTCTTCATATTATAGTTTCGGGGGGGGGGGG